ATAAAAATTACATAATAGAAAACTAATATAGTAATATGTAAAAAAAATTTAGTAATATTAAAGATTAATTAATTGAGCTTAATTGGCATCTTAGTTACTTTTTTATATTTTAATAAAAAATACCTCCTTCGTCCAAAATTTATCTTCTGATTCACTATTAAGAGTATTAACAAGATCAAATTTTATTTACTTTGCTTACTTATTTTAATTATATATTTGATAAAATAATATAATTATATCATTACTAGTTTTATAGATCTTATGGTGTAGTTTTTAGATATATAATTTTATTTTTTGATTTCACACCACTTTTATTTAACATCGTAACACGTAAAAGGAAGATATTTTTTAGAGTACTGGAGTCTTTATTTAGTTTTGAGAGTATTATTGTAAAATTTTTAATTTCAGGGAGAATTTATATAATTTTTTCGTTATTAAAACAAAAAAACAACTAAGATGTCAACTAAGCATAATTACTTACATGTAAGCATAAGAAAAGTTGATTAGGCATAGTGGGAGTAGTAATATAAACTTATAGTTTAATTGGGAGCACCATAGTCTTTTATTAAATTTAGGAGTATTATTGTAAAATTTCAAATTTCTGGGAGTATTTATATCAATTTTTCCATATATATATATATATATATACATATATATATACACACACACATATATATATATACATATATATATATACATATATATATATATACATATATATATATATATATATCTGTGTGTGTGTGTGTGTGTCTATATATATATATATATATATATATATACACACACACATATATATATATATATATATATTATATGTTGAATATTTTATTTTGGTTTGTCATTTTAATTATGAAAATAATTAATTTGACATAAACTATTTAAAGTATATTTGTATACTTGTTTAAAAATGATATTGATATTTTATTTGATTTAAAATTAATTTTATACTACCTCCGTCCTACTCTCTTTGTCCACTTTTGACTTTTGGAACTATTCATCTAAACACTTTGACTCATCAAATTTTCTCAATGTGTAAGCCTAAATATAGTCATGTGTGATCTTGTTTGATTTGTCTTAATATATAGATTATTAATATATAATTTCTATAATTTTTTAATATACAAATTACAAGATAAAATGGATTAAAGAAGTGCATTATTGGATGGTGTGCCAAAAGGTAAGTGGACAAAGAGAGTGGGACGGAGGGAGTATTAATTTTTAGTGTCAAATAAAATACACTTTGAACATATAAGTGGAGAAGAATTTCACAAATCCTTCTCACAATCTACACTTACGGCTAAGGGAGGATTTGGAATCATTGAATTGATTTCAACATTTCCTTGATTGATAAATTAGTGGACTAATGGTTTTGTCATTTAGATAATGACAAAAGTTAATTTAACATCTTTGTTTTATTTAAATACTTTACTCCATTCACAATTTTTGGTGGTTCATTTTTGAGAAATAGTTTCGGCCACATTGAAATCTAGTGAGAAAATTCTTTTGTGTTCCATTAATATCATTTTGTGTATAGAAAATATCTATAATATTTTCTAAATATTATTGGAAATATTTTCTATAGAAATATACAAGATTATTATTATCCCAAATTTTAATATTTATATTTTATACTACTATAATGTTTACTAGCATAAAGATTGTGGTAGACTCCGGCGTTGTTCGTGTGTCAAAGTTGGAGACCGGACGCTTGAACAGTTACGTTTGCACTTTCAACGCTCTTCCTACAAATTCTTCGTTTTTACCGCTTACGGAAAAAAGTATAAATTTCTTAGTTACTATAAGTTTTAGTACGTGATTCTGGGCAAGAGAATCATGTTAGGATGTTAAAATTTTTATATTCCGCTGCCTATCCTTGCATGGTTAGCTTTCAGTGGTATCAGAGCCAACGTACAAAACTATAGTTTTACGTTTGACTTTAAAAATTTTAAAAGTCAAAGTTTTAAATTGGTAATGATTAAAATTCAAAAATTGGTAAAATGATTTTATTTAGTCTTGGAATAAGTATTGGACTTAAATAAATCATTGAAAATGAATTTTAAATTTATTTATTTTATTTCTACCCGTAATATATATATAAATACATATATTTTGATTTTTCTAAATATATATTTATATATATATTGTAGAAATAGTAAATATAATTTTATTTGCACATAAAACATCATTTTATGATTGATAAAATTATATTGTAATTTTTGAATGTATTATTTCTTATTTCGAATTTATTGTATTTATTTAGGTGAAAACCGAAAACAAATATGGGAAAATTCAAAATGAACTTTATTAAACTTGGAAATATTATTTCTAAGTTGAATAAGGTTGTTGATAAATATATTGTACAAAATCATATTAGTTAGTAATTAAATAAATATATATTTATATATGTACTCAGTTTTATTACCGAAATATTATATATATTTATATTTGTATTTTAATTACATAAATGACTAATATATATTTTGGAAAGTTATATCTCAGTAAGAAAAAGAATATTTTTCAAAATATTAAATTTTTATAATTTAATATTTTCGAAATCAATTTAAATGGCTTTTTATAACTTATTGAGATTTAACTAATATATTTTAGGAAATAATGATTTATAAATTTTGGAAATTTTACTTCTAGGTTTATAAATGTTGAAAATAATTGCTGGAAGTTGAAATTTAATTTTCATGATTTTTGCAAATGGATGGACGACTCAGAGACAGTAAGTTGGGGCCATCAATGACAAGTCGGATGATTTTACTCACTCATCCAACCAAGAGTTGGATCTTTATAATTTAATTGGAACTCTGTTCCTAACCAAAGTAGTCTGCTTGTAAGACGTGCCTCAGCCAATTACAAGTATGGTGAAAAGGTGTCCTGGTCCGATTGTAGTAATATTTTTTGCCCAACACCAGACCAAGAGCTGAGAGCCCGGCTCATCAGTTGGAACTATGTTCCTACCTAAATAGTTGTCTTGTGAAGTAACGCCCAAGCGGAACGCAAGATAATGAAATATGAATCTTGGCCCACTAGAGGTTTCACCGGAAATCTCCGAATCAATATCGAGGGTTATTGATTTGTTAAAAATAGTGGGAGATAATTAATTAAAGGCCTAATTAATTATTAAACATGATAAATAACCTATTTTGCAAAATTTTTGTAGATGGAAAACAACAACCCTTTCAACCTGCGATATGTTCTAGAAAAGGAAAAATTATCTGGAACCAACTTTCTTGACTCGGAGATGAACGTCCGAATCGTTCTTAACTGTGAGAGGAAACTCTACATCCTCAAAACAAATCCTCCCAAGACCCCTGATGCTAATGCTCGTGCGTCCGAACTCACTTCCTTCAAGAAGTATGAGGACGACACGCGAGATGTAAAGTGTATCATTATGGCCAGTATGACCGCGGAGCTCCAAAGGCTCCACGCGGACAAGGAAGTGCGTCCTATGTTACAATGCTTAAGAGACCTTTACCAAGGTCAGCCCCAAAACTCAAGTATTTACGTTATCGAAGTCAATATGTCTGATATCACCTCTTGGGTGATGGATACTGGATGTGGTTCTCACATCTTTACTTCTATGCAGAACTTGCATGAATGTAGACAATTGACGGAGGGAGAGATACAACTAAAAGTCGGCAATGGCGCACTCGTCTATGCATTGGCCGTCGGAAACTATAGTTTTTCTCTACCTAGTGGTCTTATATTGCATTTGAATAATTGTCTGTTTGTACCTAGTATGAGCAGAAAAATCATTTCTGTATCCTGCCTTGACAAAGCAGGATTTTCGTTCGTTGTAAAAGACAAAACTCTTTCTGTCTTTAGAAATGATATATTTTATGCAAGTGCAAAAATGACCAACGGTCTCTATGTCCTTGACATGGATTGTAACACCCTAATCCGTCCAGGTCTGCAGCCCCTTTCGGACTAAAGTATTAACTTGGTAATCGTAAAATTTAAAACTTTTCAAACACTTTTATTTATCATAATAATATTTTTCATATCATAAACAGTACAGAGTTTTCAATATTGCGGAAGCTTAACAAATCATAACCACAAACATAATTTATTTATATTCTTTAATTCAAAACCATCACATCCATTCCGACTATCTCGCCTCCGTCTGCCTCCAGGATCACGTCACATCATTCTATTGACCTGCGTGTAGTAAATAAAACACACTACACGCTCAGCGGTAAAGCTGAGTAAGCATATCTAATGCGTCGAACATCCACATAAATTGAATCTCAATTCATAATCAACCATTTGATATCATGCACATAATGTTCAGTTCAGATATTCAATAATCAATATTCAAATTTCAACATTCATTATTCAATCATCCAACATGTATATTTATCATTTGTCATTCAACAGTATCCTTAAACTATTCTTAGTCTAAGGCCAATCAATTTAATATTTGTCAACCCTTAATTGAATTCTAGTTTAACTAATTAAACTATATTCCAGTATACAGAGTACTCCTAATAATCCTTAAGCTAGGCCTAGTTTAAGATAAAAGGGTTTTGGAAATCTTAAACTTACCTTCACTTAAGGCCAACCAAAAACCGACAGCGTAGTGTTCACTGTTGGGTGGGTGGTACCCCCAAACGAGAAGGTACTCAAGTTTGGTTCCTGGATCCCGTACGTACGTTTTAACCCTAGCCACCGGGCATCATACCCGCAAGGCCTAACTTATATAGGTATATCTTAGAGGTCTTCTAGATACCCTTTCAAATCAACATTAATATGGGTATATCTTAGAGGTCTTCTAGATACCCTTAACAACACATATTATTTTCACAAGCATCAATATATTCATTATGATTTAATCATTCATAATTTCCATTTTTAATCAGAACAATTATCAAGATTTAATCATCATAATCATCAATCAATACTCATTACCATAATCATCTGTAACGCCCTGCGACCCGGTCTAATAGAATTGATTAATTTAATTAATTAATTACTGTTCCAGACCGGGGTTGGGAAAATGAAAAGTTCTTAGAAAAATTATTTGATCATATCATTAAATTCATCTTGACTGTCTGATTCCAGAAACACAAACGGAACTCAATTCGGACCCGTTCGGGGGGAAAAGCGCGTACCGTTCAGGTCAGATTTTTACATTACGGAGTAAATAAAATTGTAACTTCCCTAGACCCTTGGTTCGGCCCCCTCAACACCCCATTACTCTCATTCATTAGGCTCCATAATCCACCATTAAAACTCCATCATCTCCTCTCCCCTCACATCCCATTTTGTAACCCCCAAGTACTCACCATCTTCATCTTCTCTCCCTCTCTCATTTTCGGCCAAGGCAAGCAGCAGCTTAGGAATCTCCGGTGAAGCTCCGGTGGGTGCAAAGTTGAAGGAGAAGAAGAGCTAGGTCGTTCGAGCAAAGCGTAGTCGTCGTTCGTCTGTTCGTTAGCACTGTTCGTTCAACCAATTCCATCAACCCCCTTCGTTTAGAGGTGAGTAGTTGTCCCCTCTAATTCTAGAACATTTAGTTATAATCCTTGTCGTTATACTCGTAGTAGTATCGTACGCAACCTACGTAGAACCTATGCATGTACGTAGGATAATCATCAAAATGTTCATTATGCAAACCTATAAATTCTAGCCTAGGAATCACTAGAAATATATTCATAAATGTTATGCTATTGTTCTAAAAAGAATCTAGGTGTTAAATTAGTAAAACGGACCAAAACGGAGCAAAGGACGGCAGACTGCCTCCGGGACGGTCGACCGCCGCTATGGACGGTGGACCGTTCCCAAAGCCAAACCGACGGTCACCACCGTGACGGTCGACCGCCGGCCACGACGGAAGACCACGGTGGACCGTCGGCCATCCAGTTCCCCACAACGCAGCCCACGGTCGACCGCCGTTAGGGTACGGTCGACCGTCCTTCTGGCAGCTTCCCGGGCAGTTTGTAAAACGAGCCCGTTGACCCAGAATCTGAACGTTTCTTGCATGAAAAGCTGATCTTTATTTTTAATGTTATATAATTAGTATATTCTTGGCATTTATCAAAGGTAAAAATATCAAGCATCCACCATGTTCATTCTAGACGCATGTCTTAGGTTTCATCATGTGCATACCGCTGTAGGGAGGACTTCGTGCGCCTACTACAGTGGGCCCGTCCAGGAACCCTTGGGGTCCAACGGGTTTTCATCATGTTGGGCTTGTGTACGTACATAGTAGTCAGGCTACGGCTACTACCCGGTTTTGCTAGTCCACTCGCGACATTTCTGTCGTGCCCGGCTCGTTACCGTTCGGGGACGATGACCGGAGTGCAGGTGTGATCCTGTCGAGTGAGACTAAGTCAGGAGTGTCTCAGATAGTCAAGTCATGCATCAAGTCATATCATCATCAAGTATGAACCAATCGCCTTGTTATTTGTAATAGCTCTAATAGGTGGAACTAAACAATTAGTAACATGGGGTTTTTCCCGTACGTTAAGTACAGGTATTAATATGTGTATAGCCATGTGGGTTATCACTTAATGTTCTTTTGTTAGATTCACTCCTCAGCTTTTTGCTGAGCGTGTAGTTGTTTTTGCTACACGCAGGTAGACATGACGGTGATGGTGCCAACCCTGGAGAGCAGTGACGATGGGGAGATGGGCGGGGCGCGGACAAGCTTATATTTAATCCCATAACTAAATTAATTAATTGGGCATGAACCCACCCTTGTTGTTATTTAATTTGGACTGGACTTATTTATTTACTTCCGCATTTACTCCGTACTTTTATTCACGTTTTGGGAGTAACTCCCCGGCTTTTATTTCACTAAATTAAGCACAACCGTTTTCTTATTAAATAGTCATTAATGTTTTTGTAACGGACGGTTCTCGGACTGTCCATGTAACCCTACCGGTCCGTCGGGTCGCGGGTGAACCGGGTCCACGGAGGGCGGGTGTTACAATTTGGTATCAGAGAGGTTCGGTTTTGTAAAAAAAAATGTCATTTTGTGTCAAAAGGGTATTGTTCAAAAGTCCACAGCCGCATCTCCCATCACATCACTCCCAGGGAAAGGTACACCGTTATTTTAATCACATGTATGTCATATTGTAGTTAGTTCTGGTTTAAATTATTCCTTTAGAAAATGAGGCAAGCAGCTGGCGACGATGGACAGGCTGTCCTAGAGGGTGAGCCTGAGCACGTGAGCGTGCACACTGAAGCGTCAAGCTTCACACCCCAGCAGGCCTCTGAGCAGGCAGTTCCGGGCGCGGACCCGATTCCTGAAGCTGTCCCTATCATTCAGCCGCAACTCGCGGCTAACTTCATGAACTTTCTCCAGCAGATGGCTGGAGCATACGTGCCACCACCGCCACCACCGCCACCACCAGTGGCGGTGGTCACCATCGAGAAGCTCCGGAAGAACGGGGCTGAGGAATTTCTGGGCGATCAGATCGCCGACCCCATGATCGCGAAACGGTGGTTTGAGCGAACCAAACGGGTACTGGGGAACCTGAGGGTTCCGGAGGAACAGCGTGGCGACCTCGCAGTTGCCTTACTTTAGGATTCCGCCTATGACTGGTGGAAGCGTGTAGGAGCGGACGATCCGGAGCCCGTGCAGTGGGCCACTTTTGACCGACTCTTTCATGAGGAGTACATCCCGGAGCACTTCGTCGAGGCGAAGCGAGAGGAGTTCTTGAAGTTCACCCAGGGTGAACTCACGCTGCCTGAGTATCTTCAGAAGTTTGACGAGCTCGCGGGGTTCGGGCAAGACCTCGTACCGACCGTGGAGAAGCGATGCAAACGCTTCGTGGAGGGTTTACGTCCCGACCTTTCGACTCATCTAATCATTGCTCCTCGAAGTGACATCAACGCGTTGTACAAGAATGCGTTGGACCTAAATGCGGCTCTCATTAAGAAAGCTGAATTCGAGCAGGCGCAGGGGGCATCAGTAGCACCATCCCGTCCTCCTCCACCTCAGAAGGCGGGGACCAGCAGCAAGAGGTCCTTTGCAGCACCGAGCAGCTCTCACCAGAGCAAGAAGGTGAAGTCAGCCCCAGCTCAGTCGTCGGTGTCCGTGCAAAAGAAGGGCAAGAGCGGAGATGGGTTCCGCAACCCGATTTGCGACCATTGTGGGCGCAGGCACCCAGGGGAGTGTTGGTACACTTTGGGCTTGTGCCTTGGGTGTGGCCAAGCCGGGCATTTCCGAAAGGATTGTCCGAAGAATCCAGGTGAGGCATTCTCGACCGCACCGGCCGCTTCAGCCCCAGCAGCACAGCCCGCCCAGAGCCAGAAGTCGGCGGCAGCATCCAGTCAGCCCAGGCGGCAAGCATCAGGCGCTCAAGGGGGGAAGGCCCCAGCCCGCACTTACGCGATGCGAGGGCGTACCGAGGAGCCAGCCCATGACGTCATCATGGGTATGTTTACCTTATTCAATACATCTATTACAGCTTTGATTGATCCGGGTTCCACTCTATCATATGTCTGTATGCCTATGCCTGTTATGCCTAACTTTCCGAGGGAAAATTTAGACAATCCGGTAATAGTGTCCAACCCATTGGGACATAGTCTACGACTCACCCATGTGTATCACGATTGCCCATTAGTGGTCCAGGGAAAGATTTTCCCTGCGAGTCTCAATGAGCTTCCACATCGTGAGTTTGACGTTATTCTAGGCATGGATTGGCTCACCGCCAACCAAGCCGTTGTTGACTGTGGAGCTCATACTGTTCGACTGAGAGCTGAAGACGGTAGTGACGTACTGATCCACGGTGAGCTTCTTCCGAAAGCTCCAGAATTCATTTCCTACATTCATGCTCGTCGACTCATCCGCAAGAAGTGTGAAGCATTCTTGTGCACAGTGCGTGACACTCGTCAGGAGGCGCCTAGTAGGGGGGACATCCCTACGGTATGTGACTTTCCTGATGTGTTTCTAGATGACTTACCTGGTCTACCGCCCCCTAGGGAGGTAGAGTTTTCCATAGATCTTGTTCCAGGAACAGGACCGATCTCGATCACACCTTATCGCATGGCGCCTGCGGAGATGAAGGAGCTGAAGGCTCAACTGCAGGAGTTGCTGGATAAGGGCTTCATCCGACCTAGTGTGTCTCCTTGGGGAGCACCGGTTCTGTTCGTCCGCCAGAAGGACGGATCGATGCGGTTGTGCATTGATTACCGTCAGTTAAACAAAGTTACCAGCAAGAACCGATATCCGTTACCCCGCATTGACGATTTGTTTGACCAGCTGAGAGGAGCCACGGTCTTCTCTAAGATCGATCTCCGATCAGGGTACCATCAGATTCCCGTCAAGAAGGAGGACATTCCTAAGACGGCTTTCCGCACGAGATACGGTCATTATGAGTTCACAGTCATGCCCTTTGGATTGACCAACGCACCAGCAGTATTCATGGATCTGATGAACAGTGTGTTCCGGAAGCATCTTGATCAGTTTGTTGTGGTCTTCATCGACGACATCTTGGTGTATTCCAAGACACAGGAGGAGCACGCCGAGCATCTGCGTATCGTTTTGAGCATTCTTCGGGAACATCAGCTTTATGTCAAGCTGTCCAAGTGCGAGTTCTGGTTGCACAAGGTTACCTTCCTCGGCCATGTCATCTTGGCCGAAGGTGTGAAGGTAGACCCGTGCAAGATAGCAGCGATCACGGAGTGGAAGACTCCGCGGAATGCACGTGAGGTGAGGAGTTTTCTCGGACTGGCGGGTTACTATCGTCGGTTCGTGAAGGACTTCTCCAAAATAGCATCGCCACTGCACAAGCTGATGAGGAAGGACGTTAAGTTCGTTTGGACTAACGCCTGTCATCAGAGTTTCGAACAGCTGAAGGAGTGCTTGACCCAGGCACCAGTTCTAGTCCAGCCCACTCCAGGAGTGGAGTATACGGTTTTCAGCGACGCGTCCCATAACGGCTTGGGGTGTGTTCTCATGCAAGAGGGCAAGGTCGTTGCGTATGCATCTCGGCAGCTGAAGCCGCACGAGTGTAATTATCCGACACACGACCTAGAGCTAGCAGCCATTGTACTTGCCTTGAAAATCTGGAGGCGTTACCTCTACGGTGAGACGACGCGTATCTTCACCGACCATAAGAGTCTTCAGTACCTGCTGACGCAGAAGGATCTGAATCTCCGACAGAGGAGGTGGTTAGAGTTGATTAAGGACTATGACTGTCACATCGCTTATCACCCAGGTAAGGCGAATGTGGTGGCTGATGCCCTTAGTCGTAAGACTCTAGCTGTGCTACACGTCCAGCCTACATTACAGGAGCAGATAACCTCAGCCCAGAGCAGCGATGATTTCTGTATCCAGACAATTGAGCTCGTCTCTCGAGGAGAGAAGCCGGATTTTGCAGTTCGGAATGGTATCTTGTACTATCGGGAGCGTAAGGTTGTGCCAGCGGGGGAGGTGAGAGAATGCCTGCTTCGCCAAGCACACAGCACTGTGTATACCATGCACCCGGGCAGTAACAAGATGTTCTAGGACCTTAGGAGACATTACTGGTGGCCCGCGATGAAGCGAGAGATCACTGAATTCACGTCGAGGTGTTTGACTTGTCAGCAGGTCAAGGCCGAGCACCAGGTTCCTTCAGGATTGCTTCAGCAGATCACCATTTCTGAGTGGAAGTGGGATTGCATTACGATGGATTTCGTCGTGGGACTGCCATTGTCACCACGTAAGCACGACACAGTTTGGGTCATCGTTGATCGGTTGACCAAATCGGCACATTTTCTCCCCATCCGTCGTGATTTCTCACTCTAGCGATTAGCAGAGTTGTACATCTGTGAGATCATCAGGTTACATGGAGTACCGTCATCTATTATTTCGGATCGTGACCCTCGATTCACATCACAGTTTTGGAAGAGTCTACAAAGGGCCTTGGGCTCCGATCTCCACTTTAGTACGGCGTTCCACCCTCAGACAGACGGTCAGTCAGAGAGGGTGATCCAGATTCTTGAGGACATGATGCGTGCGTGTGCAATCGACTTTGGGGACGGTTGGGAGCAATACTTGCCGCTCATGGAGTTTGCATACAACAATAGTCATCAGGCTAGCATTGGTATGGCACCATATGAGGCTCTGTACGGTAGACCCTGTCGTACCCCTACTTGTTGGTCAGAGCTTAGTGAGAGGAGGCTGGAAGGGCCTGATCTCGTTCGCGAGACCGAGGAGAAGGTCCAGGTGATTAAAGATCGACTCAAGGCGGCTTCGGACCGACAGAAGTCCTACGCTGACCTTAAGAGGCGTGACATCAAGTATGCGGTCGGGGATAAGGTTTTTCCGAAGGTGTCACCTTGGAAAAACGTCCTACGTTTCGGCAAGAGGGGTAAATTGAGTCCGAGGTTTATAGGCCCGTACCCGGTCACTGAACGGGTAGGACCTGTAGCTTACAGGCTCGAGTTACCATCGGAGCTGAGCAAGATCCACGATGTTTTCCACGTGTCCATGCTTCGGAGGTACCGATCGGATCCATCTCATGTGATACCAGCTGATACAGTCACACTTGATGAGAATCTTACATACGAAGAGGAGCTGGTTGAGATTCTGGCTCGCGAGGTCCGTCAGTTGAGGAACAAAACCATTCCGCTGGTCAAGGTTCTGTGGAGAAGTCATACCGTCGAGGAGGCGACATGGGAAACCGAGGAATCCATGCGCACTCGTTATCCACATCTTTTCAGTGACCAGTGATCAGGTAAATTTTGAGGACGAAATTTTTCTTAAGGGGTGGATAATTGTAACGCCCTACGACCCGGTCTAATAGAATTGATTAATTTAATTAATTAATTACTGTTCCGGACCGGGGTTGGGAAAATGAAAAGTTCTTAGAAAAATTATTTGATCATATCATTAAATTCATCTTGACTGTCTGATTCCAGAAACACAAACGGAACTCAATTCGGACCCGTTCGGGGGGGAAAGCGCGTACCGTTCAGGTCAGATTTTTACATTACGGAGTAAATAAAAATTGTAACTTCCCTAGACCCTTGGTTCGGCCCCCTCAACACCCCATTACTCTCATTCATTAGGCTCCATAATCCACCATTAAAACTCCATCATCTCCTCTCCCCTCACATCCCATTTTGTAACCCCCAAGTACTCACCATCTTCATCTTCTCTCCCTCTCTCATTTTCGGCCAAGGCAAGCAGCAGCTTAGGAATCTCCGGTGAAGCTCCGGTGGGTGCAAAGTTGAAGGAGAAGAAGAGCTAGGTCGTTCGAGCAAAGCGTAGTCGTCGTTCGTCTGTTCGTTAGCACTGTTCGTTCAACCAATTCCATCAACCACCTTCGTTTAGAGGTGAGTAGTTGTCCCCTCTAATTCTAGAACATTTAGTTATAATCCTTGTCGTTATACTCGTAGTAGTATCGTACGCAACCTACGTAGAACCTATGCATGTACGTAGGATAATCATCAAAATGTTCATTATGCAAACCTATAAATTCTAGCCTAGGAATCACTAGAAATATATTCATAAATGTTATGCTATTGTTCTAAAAAGAATCTAGGTGTTAAATTAGTAAAACGGACCAAAACGGAGCAAAGGACGGCAGACTTCCTCCGGGACGGTCGACCGCCGCTATGGACGGTGGACCGTTCCCAAGGCCAAACCGACGGTCACCACCGTGACGGTCGACCGCCGGCCACGACGGAAGACCACGGTGGACCGTCGGCCATCCAGTTCCCCACAACGCAGCCCACGGTCGACCGCCGTTAGGGTACGGTCGACCGTCCTTCTGGCAGCTTCCCGGGCAGTTTGTAAAACGAGCCCGTTGACCCAGAATCTGAATGTTTCTTGCATGAAAAGCTGATCTTTATTTTTAATGTTATATAATTAGTATATTCTTGGCATTTATCAAAGGTAAAAATATCAAGCATCCACCATGTTCATTCTAGACGCGTGTCTTAGGTTTCATCATGTGCATACCGCTGTAGGGAGGACTTCGTGCGCCTACTACAGTGGGCCCGTCCAGGAACCCTTGGGGTCCAACGAGTTTTCATCTGTCGTGCCCGGCTCGTTACCGTTCGGGGACGATGACCGGAGTGCAGGTGTGATCCTGTCGAGTGAGACTAAGTCAGGAGTGTCTCAGATAGTCAAGTCATGCATCAAGTCATATCATCATCACGTATGAACCAATCGCCTTGTTATTTGTAATAGCTCTAACAGGTGGAACTAAACAATTAGTAACATGGGGTTTTTCCCGTACGTTAAGTACAGGTATTAATATGTGTATAGCCATGTGGGTTATCACTTAATGTTCTTTTGTTAGATTCACTCCTCAGCTTTTTGCTGAGCGTGTAGTTGTTTTTGCTACACGCAGGTAGACATGACGGTGATGGTGCCAACCCTGGAGAGCAGTGACGATGGGGAGATGGGCGGGGCACGGACAAGCTTATATTTAATCCCATAACTAAATTAATTAATTGGGCATGAACCCACCCTTGTTGTTATTTAATTTGGACTGGACTTATTTATTTACTTCCGCATTTACTCCGTACTTTTATTCACGTTTTGGGAGTAACTCCCCGGCTTTTATTTCACTAAATTAAGCACAACCGTTTTCTTATTAAATAGTCATTAATGTTTTTGTAACGGACGGTTCTCGGACTGTCCATGTAACCCTACCGGTCCGTCGGGTCGCGGGTGAACCGGGTCCACGGAGGGCGGGTGTTACATCATCAATCAACATAATACTCAATAACAATTATCGGCCTAGCTTCGAGTGTTAACACCCGAACTTACCGTCATGCATCACCTAACATTTATATTTGTTAAAACATCATTTTTATTGTGGTAAATCATTTTTATAATGATCATAATCAATTGGTATCAAAAATAGGATTTTAGAACTCAAAAATAGCATTTTCAGACAAATTTTCGGATCCGAACTTCGGGGGATCGATCCAGCCCTTTGGATCGATCATACTATGAAAAATAACTCCCAGGGGATCGATCCAAGCTTCTGAATCGATCCAGACAGTGGTGTTTCAGCCACTGTTCATCTTCTTCTTCGTTCGGGTCCAATTTCGGAAATACCGTTTTTAGTTATCGATCTTCAACGAAACTATATAGATATGTTCTCTAAGGTTCATAGATCATTTTGGCATCATTAATTCATAGTTTTAACATCAATTCCATGGTTTATGATTCTTGGTTCTTCAAGCATGTCAAACACAAAACTCAACCAAACGACCGTTTATGAACGTAGAAACGATCTATACGAACATTCTAGTCATTAGATATATCAACGGGCTTACCTCAAAGGTAAAAGAAGGTTTTGAATATTTTCCGGCGAAACTTCCGGCGAGGTTTGTGCCTTGCTCCGGCGACTTCACCCAAATTGACAGAACCACTTTGTTCTCTACACTCACAGCTTCATCTCAGAGTTTATTTGAAGGAATTTGATGAAGAAATGGATGAGATTAGGTTCCTTTTATAGGAGAAGGAGTGAAGAAGAAGACATGGGTGTGACTCAGGATTCCATTTCTTTGTTGGTGATCGATTTAGTGCGCAGGACGGCGGATTTGTAGGAACTCACACGCCGTTCACTGATTGGGACTAATTTTGGTCTCAGACGGGGTACACTTTTTGGTCCAACTTTCTCCGAATTGAATTCCGTTTGCACCGTTGTGATCAGACAATTAAACTCTATCTAACTATATAATTTTTACATTTATTTGTTATACTTTTTCCGACATCATATTTTGGTGTTTGACTTTGACAGAGTCAAAATTGGTTTAATTGACCTTTATTCAAAAAGGTTCTCACATTTAATTCATATTATTTATTTCCATGATTTATTTCAATAAATCATTTCAAAGATCACATTACAAACAATTTCTTCATTTATTCTTAATTTGGGTCTGTGCTCAGGTTCCATATCAAGATCACACAATAAGTTAACAGGTTGGATTTATCTCTATGAGATTTAACCCAATTATGTTTATTGGACATCAATATATATTTTATTTCGGCCCAAAGCCCAACAATAATTTATTTTAATCAAAACAAATTTTGTTTAATTTAATATTTAATTCAATAAATTTTAGGGTATATTTTGGGGCGTTACATGGATACCGCAATATATATATAACGTAGATGTTAAGAGAAACAAACCTAACAGTTTGAATCTTGCGTACCTATGGCATTGTCATTTGGGCCACATTAACAAGAAACACATATCTAAGTTACATCTCCCAGGTGTACTTGATTCATTTGACTTCCAGTCATATGATGTATGTAAGTCTTGTTTACTTGGTAAAATGACAAAGGCTCCATTCACCGGTCACGGTGAAAGGGCGAGTGACTTATTGGGCCTCATACACTCCGATGTCTGTGGTTCAATTAGCACTGTAGCTAGAGGTGGTTATTCTTACTTCGTTACATTTACTCACAACCTTAGTAGATATGGATATGTGCATCTAATGAAACACAAATCGGAATGCTTTGAAAAATTCAAAGAATTCAAGAACGAAGTAGAAAAACAATTAGGCAAAAGTATTAAGACCCTCCGCTCGGATCGAGGAGGTGAATACTTAAGCCTGGAGTTCGATGACTATCTGAAAGAGCATGAGATCTTATCCCAACTCACTCCTCCAGGGACACCTCAGTTAAATGGAGTGTCTGGGAGGAGAAATCGGACTTTGCTAGACATGGTCCGGAGCATGATTAGTCTGACAACATTGCCAGGATCATTTTGGGGATATGCATTGAAAACAGCACCACACACACTCAACAGAGTTCCATCTAAAGCTGTCGAGAGCACACCATACGAACTATGGCGTGGGAGAAAACTGAGTTTCTTGTACTTTAAGATTTGGGACTATGAAGCTTATGTAAAACGTACTAGTAAGTTGGAGCCTAAATATGATAAAGTAATTTTTGTGGGATACCCCAAGGAAACTAGAGGGTATGAGTTCTATTATCCATCCGATAACAAAATTTTCGTTGCTCGGAATGGAACCTTCCTTGAGAAGGAGTTTCTTTCTGCTATCACTAGTGGGAGAAAGGTAGACCTCGAAGAAATTCGAGAACCACAAGAAGAAGTACTGATAGTGTTGGAACATGAGCAAAGAGATCAAGCAATTGAACCTCAAACTGGTCAAGATATACCACGTAGGTCAGACCGGATACGTAATCCTCCGGTCAGATATGGATTTCTCATGTCTGATGAAGGTGACGTCTTGTTGGTAGATCAAGGCAAACCAGAGACCTATCTCGAGGCAATTACATGCCCCGAATCCGATCTATGGCTCGAAGCCATGAAATCTGAAATGGAGTCTATGTACACAAACCAAGTCTGGACTTTGGTTGATGTGCCTGAAGGGGTAAAACCCATTGGATGCAAGTGGGTCTTCAAAAAGAAGACAGACGTAGACGGGAAGGTTCAAACCTTCAAAGCTCAATTGGTAGAAAAAGGTTATAGGCAAATCCACGGAATTGACTATGATGAAACCTTTTCTCCAGTTGTTATGCTAAAATCCATTCGGATAATGCTTGTGATTGCAGCCTATTACGATTACGAAATTTGGAAGATGGACGTCAAGACGGCTTTCCTTAACGGGAAGCTCAAAGAGGATGTCTTCATGACACAGCCTGACGGTTTTCAAATTGCTGGTTAGTCTGCCAAAGTTTGTAAACTGAAACGTTCAATCTACGGATTGAAATAAGCATCTCGGAGTTGGTACATACGTTTCGATGAAACCTTTTCAGTTTTGGTTTCGAGAAGAACTCTGACAAATCTTGTGTATACAAAAAGGTCAGTGGGAGTGTAATAGTATTCCTAATCTTATATGTCAATGACATATTGTTAATGGGTAACGATATTCCCACTCTCACTTTTGTAAAGATGTGGTTGAGCGAGAACTTCTCCATGAAAGACTTTGGGGATGCAAGTTATGTCCTTGGCATAAGAATCTACCGAGATAGATCAAGAAAGTTAATAGGTCTGAATCAAAGTACATATATAGATAAAATCCTTGATTGATTTAGCATGTCTAACTCAAAGAAAGGACCTTTACCTATGACACCCGACACGGTTCTTTCCAAGAGCCAGAGTCATTCTACTCCCGAGCAGAAGGAACTCATGATGAAGGTTCCATACGCCTCTGCGATTGGATCCATTATGTACGCCATGATATGTACTAGATCTGATGTCTCATTCGCTTTAAGCATGACCAGCAGATACCAGGGAAGTCCAGGAGAAGCACACTCGACAGCGGTCAAGAATATCCTCAAGTATCTTCGCAATACTAAGGATGCATTCCTGGTATACGGTGGTGAGGAAGAGCTAAAGGTGGTCGGTTACACTGATGCTAGCTTCCAAACCGACAGAGACGATTCAAAATCACAAGCAGGATATTTGTTTTGCCTGAATGGCGGAGCTTTTAGCTGGAAGAGCTTCAAGGAGGATACAAGCGCCGATTCGACTACAGAGGCTGAGTACATAGCTGCCGCCGAGGCAGCTAAAGAAGCTGTTTGGATCAAGAAGTTCATTACTGAACTTGGAGTGGTTCCTAGTATTAATGACCCTATCTCGTTGTTTTGCGACAACACTAGGGCCATTGCACAGGAAAAGGAACCGCGATCTCACCAGAAAACCAAACACATTGTACGCCGCTATCACATCATACGAGAAATCGTAGATAGAGGAGATGTGATGATTTGCAAAGTAGATACTGATGACAATATAGCCGATCCCTTGACCAAGCCTTTAGGAAAGCTAAAGCATGAGGGTCACACTAGGTCCATGGGCATTTGACCGATGCCAGATTGGCCATAGTTCAAGTGGGAGATTGTTGGAGTTGTGCCCTGATGGCCAACTGTTCATCGTTATCCTATCATGTATAGGCAGATATAATATGTTTACACATCTCATGCTAATGTAAACAAATATTATATTCCTAGATTTATATTTAAAAGATGTTTATCAGATACTGTTATTCTGCTGATGAGACTAACATCTTGAAATAAATATTTATCTAAATGTCCATAGTCGAGTATTAACGAGAGTGGGATATCATTAATGCATGTGAGACTAGTGTGTGTTGGATGTTTGACTTAGTCTCATAGTCAATGACGGTGTGTTCGCATCCGCACATGGGCAAATATTATCTAGAGATAATAGGATGCCGGACTGACCCATCCTAAAGATGTTGCTTGAACTTTTAGTTCATGCTCTAAGCATCTTTAGCGCGACCACGGGTGTAACTATCCTTCGACTTGAAGTATTACGTTTTCTGCATATGTGAACCCGCATACTTTGATGCATTGTCCTAAGCTATATGAAATAACGATGGTATACAGGCTTTGTTTTGGGTATGCCGCAGCGCGTATTCAGAAACGTAGATTACGTACATAGGATTTGTCACTACTCTTTTTAAAAGATATTAATGTCTTATGGGGCCCATTGATAAGTTATGATTGAGGAAATTGCATGGCCATGCTGAGATGTTTTTATGACGTCTGTTCCTATCAGTCAGACTTGATAAATCCGTGAATGACTTAATGGATACAAATTGGATTTTATTAATCCCTTGCATTAAGTTTAGACATTGAGACAAAGGGATACAGTTACACGGAGTCTGAGTCGTGGAAAGGTTTTGACGGTGCAAACGTCTTAACTTATAATCTAGGGGCAATAATATATATATATATATATATATATACATATATACATATATATATATATACATATATACATATATACATATATATATATATATACATATATATATATATATATATATTGGAATCATTGAATTGATTTTAACATTTCCTTGATTGATAAATTAGTGGACTAATGGTTTTGTCATTTAGCTAATGACAAAAGTTAATTTAACATCTTTGTTTTATTTAAATACTTTACTCCATTCAGAATTTTTGGTGGTTCATTTTTGAGAAATAGTTTCGGCCACTTTGAAATCTAGTGAGAGAAATTTCTTTTGTGTTCCATTAATATCATTTTGTGTATAGAAAATAAATATAATATTTTCTAAATATTATTGGAAATATTTTCTATAGAAATATACAAGATTATTATTATCCCAAATTTTAATCTTTATATTTTACACTACTATAATCTTTACTAGCATAAAGATTGTGGTAGACTCCGGCGTTGTTCTTGTGTCAAAGTTGGAGACCGGACGCTTGAATAGTTACATTTGCACTTTCAACGCTCTTCCTACGACTTCTTCGTTTTTACCGCTTACGGAGAAAGGTATAAATTTCTTACTTACTATAAGTTTTAGTACGTGATTCTGGGCAAGATAATCATGTTAGGATGTTAAAATTTTTATATTCCGCTACCTATCCTTGCATGGTTACCTTTCAGCTGTTTTGTGTGTAACATTCACACTTAAGCCATTTTAGAAAACCATACTCTTTTGTCTATTCTTAAGAATCAAAAGTTAATTTTTACAAAGTTGACTACTACTCTTAGCTCATCTTGGACATATATAAAATATATATTCCTTTAGAATGAATCAAGTCCATATCTCATGGTACTCTTTGGAACGATTTCCATGCGGTCCTTTTACAGAGTGAGTCTCCAAAAAGGCTTTACCTTGAGATTCATGCAAGTTTCAAAAAAACTTCCATGTATGTACTGGTCTTAGATTATTCCTAGTTCTTTGATCCATCTATATGGATTCTTTAGACTTGAGCACATAACTACTATTTGCATTCATGACTGATAAGTTTTAATTTATTTTGTCAATGATATGCAACATACTTATTGTGCTCCCACTCGTCTTCAATAAGACTTTTATCCTAGACATATAAGTCCTATAACTGGTTAGAGATAATTTGAAACCCTCCTTTTATCCTTGATAGACTCGTCCATAATAAGTGTTAAAGTGTCTTCATTCATATGAGACTTACTTTCATTACTTGTTATTAAGGAAGGAATTGTTTTGGAACAGATTCCAAGTGCTCTTTCCTTTTAGAGTCTACAATGATTATTTTAGTGCTTAAGGTTCAATAGTATTTGGCAAGGTTACATAATCCTCATTATTAGACTAACTATTTTAGTCACGTTACCTAGATAACGTTTGAGGGAACGTCAATTTCATGATCGTATCACTTTTGCCTTTCCTATTATGTAATTTTGCCATTAATATCACTTGATCTTTATTAAGTGTGCTTTATTAATGGCATGTTTAAATTTCGAAAATTTAAAGAGAAAGGGCAATTGGCTATAAACTTTATAAAGATATCCTTATATCTCTAAGTGTTTATCACTTTATTCACAATTTTGTGACAAACTTTATTAACTAATTAATATTTGTACTTTATAGCCTTGGTATAGTTGTTGTATATGCTTGTGAGGCAAAATATTTGATCATATGAAATACTTCTATAAATAACTAATAGTACTTAAAACAATAAGTAAACATCAATTCGAAATTGAAAATTGATCAAATGCTAAAACTTAAACTAATGTGCCACTGAGCTACAACCCTTGCATCTTCAAGATCAACACTCCTACTTCTTCTCTTCAGTTCCTGCAATGGTTTGCAATACTATAAGTATCGAATACTTTTGAAGAGATTGTAGATTAGTTTAAGTCTTTACAACAATTGTACCTGAAGCAGAAGCTTCACCCTTTTTCTTGGTTGCCAAATACTGCTTGCAATTCCTCTTCCAGTGGCCAACTTCACCACAGTGATGACAAATGGAATCTTTGGCCACTCCACATTTAGGCTTGAGCTTAGGAGAATTGGACTTTGGGTCGTTGTTACCCTTGCCTTTAGGTCCATTCTTCTTTGCCTTCTTGAACTTCTTCTTGCCTTTTCCTCCTTGTACTATAAGGACAGAATTCCCCTTTCCTTTCGTCAAGCTCTCTTCACCAGTTTGCAGCATCTTCAAAAGTTATGGCAGTGGTTTATCGAGTTCTTGCATCTCGTTAATAACCACAAACTGCTTGTACAACTCTGGCAACGATTGCTGAATCAGATCAGTTGTAAGTTCAGTCCTTAATTCGAAACCCAATTTCTCAAGAGTTTGGACATAGCCAATCATCTTGAGAACATGCGGAGCAACGGGTTTCTAACTGACAACTTGTAACTAAAGAGAGCTTTGGAGATTTGGAATCTCTGATGCCTAGCTTGTCCTTGGTAGAGCTGTCTTAGGTGTATGATCATATCGTACGCCTTCATACTCTCGTGATGTTTCTGAAGGACAGAAGTCATCGTAGCCAACATGAGACATCCCACCTCATTGTCATCATCAACATGCTTCTCATAAGTATCCTTGATTGCTCTAGAAGCATTGGCGGCCGGGAAAGGTGGGATGGCTCGTTCGAGCACGTATTCTTTCTTCTCGAGTCGAATAACGATAACGAGGTTTCTTTGCCAGTCTAAGAAGTTAGAGTCGGTCAACTTATCTTTGTCGAGGATCGAGCGAAGAGTGAGTGTAACACCCCAATCCGTATAACCCTAAATTACACGTATTAAGGTGAAACGAGGGTTAAATAAAAATTTCGCTTGACATTTGAAAATGACAATTACTTATAAATATTAGATTTACCGACATTTGAAATGACAATTACTTATAAATATTAGATTTTTTATATTCATCTACAAAAAATTAAAGTTCAATTAAATAATTATTTAAATAAAATATTATTTGTAATTGATCTACACTTAAACCAATTTTTTTAAAATCAATTTATTATTTTTCTGTATGAGACGTTACCGCTTGTCGATCCCAAATACCGGATCGACCATTCGGTTCGGTATGGTACGGTTCTTTTTCGGTATTTCATCGGTTAGGTCTTTTTTTGCTCGGTAATCTCGGTATTTTCGAGAAATTTCAGTATCGGTTCAATACTTGCTCACCCCTACTCGTAATTTTCATCTGTAGAGTTATTGCAAAGCGGAACAAGAATTACTTTTCATTTATGTGGGGGATTATTGGAATTTCAGCTCTTAACAGACGTAAACTCGGTGGAATCCAAAAAATTATTTCTCCAAACTAATTATGGACAATAAATTTCCCAAGTGAGACAACTGTTTCGATATATTGTGCGCCAAAAATGGTGCTCAGTTGAATGAGAAATTAATTCATAAAGTCGAACACTTGGAAAAATTGAAACTCACGTATCCCCATCGAATTTGAAACCTTTCATCCTCCACTATTTATATCCTAGCATTGAATTGCATGATAAAACAACTTGAGAAGGAGGAAAGAAAGGACCACTCGCTCCTGTCGCCTTCCGTTTCGTTCGCCTTGGCACGACACTCGCGTGCGTGCGAATGCGAATTTATGCATGCACGTTAGCTAGTACGGGAGGCGAGCGATACTACCTTAAAGAAAGCTCCAGTGACTCCACTTTCTTTAACGTTTGCAAGTTCATTCTTCTTTCCGACCACCACTCTGCACACCGAGAAGTTCCAGGATCCGTTTGTCTTTGGATAACCAGCGTCCCTTCATTTTATTTTATTTTATTCAATTTTTCTCCCATTTTGAAATTCGAACATACTATAAGTTCAGTTTTTTCATGTTATTTCATTCCCGCTCTCATCTTGTATAACACATTATTGACATAGACTATGGGGGTAGAATGTCCTTGAAGATATATAGCCCCCCCACCCCGCACACTGTGAATTTATTTTTTTATTTATTTTTTCTTCTTCTTCGTTTGGTTCCAATCTAAATGTCCCTGAGATTCGATCATGCATCTCAAATTCTCAATATTATAACAATGCTTACAAGGTGACTTAGTTTGGTTCTCTATTATCTTTTTCTCCTTTTTGCATCAATTTTCTGATAATAGTTTCGACCTACAAAACTTGTAGGTAACTACAATTTTGGTGGGTGGAAAGGGATTGCAGTGTACACCATGGTATAATGCTGCAATATATATCGTACTGTTGATCAATTCTTAAACATAAAATATAGATCAAGGATTAAATCATGTGTACCTGATAATCATGTGAACGTAGTTAGGGATGAGGCCATGATTCTCACAGAGATCGAGTTCCCGTTTAGGGTGTATCGTTATGATGGCTATGGAGAGGATGAGACTAACGAGAATAGAGAGGCAGAGAGGAGGCGTAAGATTGGTGTGTTCTAATCTCTGCCTAATGACCTCTATATATATACACCCAAGGGGAAACCCTAATTAGGTCGAAAGAGTAATTACGTCCATCAAATAATTACCAATTAAATATGTAGGGTATCTAGTAGGTCAATGATCAATTAATTAGATAAATGATAACTCAGGCCACATAATAAAATTGTGTCCTACATTCTCCCACTTGGCCGAGTAATCATTTATGATGAGTATTAGATAAGTCTGATTAGATTTTAATACTCAGTTTAGTTCTAAACCAATTCAAGATTCCCATTAATCATACTACAATACCAAATTTAAAACTTAAATAAGTTAAGGATCAAATTGACAATTAAGCCCATAACATTATTTTGTATATAAATGTTGTTTACATGTCTTTAGGCATGCATAGACACATTCAGAGACACACAAACAAAACAATGAGGAAATTTTATTATTAAATGTAAGCAAGTACAATATGCAACTAAATAAGGTCTTTAGAAAACCCCATCTTCGAAACATGTTCTTCGAAAATCTTAGGAGGGAGACTTTTAGTCATCGGATCCGCAAGCATATTCTTAGAACTTATATGCTCAATACAAAGTTTATTTTCCTCAACTCGCTCACATACGAACAAGTACTATGTATCAAGATATAAAGCAGCGCCAGTCGAACTGTTACTGTTCGAGAAACTAACGGCGGCTCAGTTATCACAATAAAGCTTCAATGGTCGAGAGATGGAATTAACTAATTTGAGTCCAGTGATGAGGTTTCTAAGCAACATCCCATGACAGGTTGCGTTGTACACCGCAATGTATTCTTCCATCATTGTAGAAGTTGTAGTCAACTATTGCTTATGACTCTTCCACGAGATAGGTCCGCCAGCTAACATAAAGATATACTCTGAAGTGGATTTCTTGTCATCTTTGCACTTAGCAAAATCAGAATCAGAATAACCAGCCACTACTAAATTATCAATCCTTCTATAAGTCAGTTTATTGTCTTTCGTCCCTTGTAGATATCAAAGAACTTTCTTGGCTGCTTTCCAGTGATCAAGACCAGGATTGGTCTGATAACAACCTAACATTCCAGCAATGTAAGCGATATCTAGACGAGTACAGACTTGTGCATACATAAGGCTTCCTACTACTGACGCATATGGTATCATTCTCATCTGTTCTTTTTCAACCTCTGTTTTTAGACATTGAAATAAACCGAAAACATCTCCCTTAACTACTAGAGCCACAGAAGGAGAGCAATGTTGCATTTTATAACGTGTAAGGACACGCTCAATGTAGGCTTTTTTAGATAATCCCAAAACACCATTGACTCTATCTCGGTGTATTTCGATGCCAATAACAAAAGAAGCTTCTCCGAGATCTTTCATGTCAAAATTATGCGAGAGTAAGCGCTTGGACTCATGCAACATGTCTAAACTATTACTTGCCAATAGAATGTCATCTACGTAAAGGACAAGTATAGTAAAGTTCCTCCCACTCATCTTTAGGTAGGTGCATTGATCCACTTGGTTCTTAATGAAACCTTCTGACTTCAAGACTTGATGCAACTTTAGGTACCATTGACGTGATGCCTGCTTCAACCTGTATATGGATTTCTTTAGCTTACAGACTAGATGCTCTTGACCTTCAAATTTGAATCCTTCAGGTTGTTTCATGAACACTTCTTCATCCAAATCGCAATTAAGGAAAGCGGTTTTGACATCCATCTGATGTAGCTCTAAATCAAAAGTGAGCTACAAGGGCCATAATGATCCTTAAGAAATCCTTTCGAGAGACGGGAGAAAAAGTCTCTTGATAGTCAATTCCCTCTTTCTGAGTGTAGCCCTTTGCAACCAATCTCGCTTTGTAGCGTTCAATGTTTCCATTCGGATCCAGTTTTGTTTTGAAGACCCATTTACCTCCTATGGGTTTTACACCGTTGGGTAATTCAACCAAATCCCAAACATCATTTTTCTTAATGGAGTCAAGTTCTTCAATCATGGCTTTATTCCATTCAGAAGACTGATCACTGTTAATGGCTTCATTATAAGAGGTAGGATCACTAAACTTTCTAGCATCCATTTCTGCTTCAGTCAGGTAGGTAACATAATCATCAAAGTAAGTAGGCCTTTTAGACCTAGACGACCCCCTGAGCAAATTTTTGGATTGAGCATTGGCGGCATTGTCTTGATGGTGATCATTGGAGTAGGAGGTGGTGCAGTGTCCTGCGGATTGGCATGAGTACAAGAGGAGTAAATGGAGGTAAAGTAATCGACAAGTCTCCCCCCCCTGCGTCTTGTACTTCTAGCAATTCATCATAAGGGTTTTCACTGCTCGCACTGACCTTAAAATCTTCAAGGAAATGAGCATCTTTGGTTTCTACAATGCGAATGACGTGGGAAGGATAACAAAATTTGTAACCCTTTGAGTGAGAAGGATAACCAATGAAGTAGCAAGTTACAGTTTTCATGTCGAATTTCTTTAAGAAGGGATTATAAAGTTTAGCTTCGGCAAGACAACCCCATACTTTCATATATCTTAGACTCGGTTTCCTTCCTGTCCAGAGTTCATAAGGAGTTTTAGAAACAACTTTAGAAGGAACTCTATTGAGTATATGAACGGCTGCGTTTAAGGCCTCGATCCAGAGAAATAGAGGTAAACCTGAGTTGGCTAACATACTGCGTACCATGTCCATTAGGGTCCTATTTCTTCTCTCAGCAACACCCACACTGTTCTGCTGAGGAGTACCATGCATGGTATATTGGTTCACGATCCCCTGGGCCTTACAAAACTCATAAAATGGACCACGAGCTTGACCCACACTAGTATGTCTACCATAATATTCACCTCCTCTATCTGACCTTACAACTTTTATCTGACGATCAAGTTGTTTTTCAACTTCAGTTTTATAATCTTTAAAAGTTGTAAGTGATTCAGATTTTTCCTTAATAAGATACAAGTACATATAACAAGAATAATCATCAATATAAGTGATAAATGATTTATGTCCAGTTATATCAGTGATAGAGTAAAGACCACTAATGTCAGTTTGAATGAGTTCTAATAAATTAAAACTCCTAGTGGCACCTTTCTTATTCACTGACTTCATTTTACCTTTTTACCTTTAAGGCATTTGACACATGTTTCAAAATCATTGAAATCGAGAGATGGTAACACTTCATCCTTCACGAGTCTAGACAAACATTCTCGTGAAATGTGGCCTAAGCGTTGATGCCACAACATGGATGAAGTTTCTAAGTCTCGTTTTTGTTTTCTCTTTGTTAGTGTCTGGTTGATATTATATGACAACAAGATTTTGAGAAATCATCATTTAGTTCTAATTTATAGAGACCACCATCAAGAAAACCATTACCAAACACTTAATAATTGAAACTAATAGTAAGTCTGCCATGACCATGAGAAACATCAAAATCGTCTATGTCTAACTTTGGTCCTGATACTAAATTTCGAGTAATCTCGGGAATATATAAGGTATCATAAAGTTTAAAACATAAACCATTTTTCATTATTAATTCTAAGATTCCCACGGCTTCGACAGCTAGTTCTGTTCCATTCTCTAGCTTAAGTGTTCTTCGGTTTCTTTCCAGCTTTTGGATTGTAAGGAATCCCTGAAGTGAGTTGGTTACATGAACCATAGAACCAGAGTCAAACCACCATGTATTAGTTGGAACATTTAAATTAAAGTACTCAAGTATCATAAAAAGCTGATTACCTTTCTTCTTCAGCACTCCTTAAAGTCTTGGCAGTCTTTCTGTCTATGTCTTTCCTTGCAACAGAACTTGCAGTAAGACTTCCCTTTGGAGTTCTTAGAGCTGGAAGAAGCACTTGCATTACGTTTCTGGACTTCAGAAACTTCCTTCTTATCAACATTGCCCTTCCTCTTCTTTGGATTAGCAGTCATAAGGTAAGCCACATCCGGTTTGTCCAGCTTCAGACGCTCTTCTTCTTGTACACACATAGCAATCAACTCATTCATTGACCACTTGACCTTCTGGGTGTTGTAGTTGACCTTGAAAGCTTCAAAAGATGCAGAAAGAGAAGTCATTATGAAGTGCACCAGAAACCCTTCACTAATCTCCATGTCTAATCCCTTAAGCTTGCGGGCCATGTCGTTCATCATCATGATGTGCTCACGAATGCCACTATTCCCGTCGTATTTCGTAGTCACCATCTTCAAAATAAGAGTACTAGCATGTGCCTTAGAAGTTGCTTTGAATTGTTCCTCCACGGAAGCCAGAAATTAGCTTTGCTTTCACCTATATAAGGTTTCCATCATCGATCTTCAGTTGAAGAATTCTTCGTCAAGAGTTGTCAATACCAACGTCGTTTCTTCATAATCGTCTCACTTTCGTACGATTTCGCGATGTAGATCAGTTTCGTCCTTCGCGATACGATGCGTACGTTGATAACGTATCAGAGGTTTATACATTTTTTTTTTGTTTCTTCACCAAATACGAAAATTCGACTTGAGTCTATGCTCGATATAATTTCAGTACTAATAATCATTATCAAATGAGAATTTAACACAGTCAATATTTACCAAGTAAATTCTCATACCTTTCCTGGAGCAGAGGGACGCGAGAGTCGTGGATGTGATTGACTCAATTTTTTTTTTGTTTTTAAATTCAAATTTTGATCCGAAGATCGGTTTTAAAACCATTTGCTCTGATACCAAATTGTAACACCCTAATCCGTCCAGGTCTGCAGCCCCTTTCGGACTAAAGTATTAACTTGGTAATCGTAAAATTTAAAACTTTTCAAATACTTTTATTTATGATAATAATATTTTTCATATCATAAACAGTACAGAGTTTTCAATGTTGCAGAAGCTTAACAAATCATAACCACAAACATAATTTATTTATATTCTTTAATGCAAAACCATCACATCCATTCCGACTATCTTGCCTCCGTCTGCCTCCAGGATCACGTCACATCATTCTATTGACCTGCGTGTAGCAAATAAAACACACTACACGCTCAGCGGTAAAGCTGAGTAAGCATATCTAATGCGTCGAACATCCACATAAATTGAATCTCAATTCATAATCAACCATTTGATATCATGCACATAATGTTCAGTTCAGATATTCAATAATCAATATTCAACTTTCAACATTCATTGTTCAATCATTCAACATGTATATTCATTATTTGTCATTCAACAATATCCTTAAACTATTCTTAGTCTAAGGCCAATCACTTTAATATTTGTCAACCCTTAAATGAATTCTAGTTTAAATAATTAAACTATATTCCAGTATACAGAGTACTCCTAATAATCCTTAAGCTGGGCCTAGTTTAAGATAAAAGGGTTTTGGAAATCTTNCTTCACTTAAGGTCAACCAAAAACCAACAACGTAGTGTTCACTGTAGGGTGGGTGGTACCCCCAAACGAGTAGGTACTCAAGTTTGGTTCCTGGATCCCGTACGTACGTTTTAACCCTAGCCACCGGGCATCATACCCGCAAGGCCTAACTTATATAGGTATATCTTAGAGTTCTTCTAGATACCTTTCAAATCAACATTAATATGGGTATATCTTGAAGGTCTTCTAGATATCCTAAACAATACATATTATTTTCACAATCATCAATATATTCATTATGAATTAATCATTCATAATTACTATTTTTAATCAGAACATTTATCAAGATTTAATCATCATAATCATCAATCAATAATCATTACCATAATCATCAATCAACATAATATTTAATAACAATTAGCGGCCTAGCTTCGGGTGTTAACATAATTACTATTTTTAATCAGAACATTTATCTGTTGGAACACGGGTTTACGCCTTCGTCGTACTAAACTGTGTTCGTTTATGACAGGTTTTGATAATGCCAAACCGCCGCGACATATCGAAGCTAAAGTGAGCAAAACTAAGGCGAAGGAACATGGCATGATGACTTGAGAACCAGAAACCCAGAATCAAGAACGAAGAACTAGAATTGTATTGAGTCGGTCTTAATGTGATCAAGACCGGCACAAAATTCCAAATCTTGGCTCTCTAGGCTTAATTCATAAAAAAAAAACTCCTTTACATATTAAAAAATACCTTTCTTAAAGTTTAAACTTGGGTCAAAACACTTGGAGTTCGCCCAAGCCAAAAACCAAGCCATCCGGCGTTCGGCTTTCAGAAACCGGCGTTCGGCTTTCGGTTTTCGGCATCGGTTTTTGGCGTCCGAACCAACCAAGTGGTTTTTAACTTTTTATAACTGGTATTTACTTCTGGGCATATTTAAATAGTTCTCCAACAAAAACGCCTCAAAAACCACCTTCCGTTTTTGGTCGTTTAGTGAAAACCATGCAAAACGGCACGAACTTGGCTAGCCATGGTTTTCAACTAAATGACGTGATTTTTAATATGTTTTACTTGATTTCTTAGCAAAATGCAATAAACAAATGTTTTCTATACTTGGTTTTTATTTTGGAGAACTTGCGTTTTTGACATCGGCTAACGGCGTGACTAAACCAACCATGGTCTGGCTAAACCAAGCCCAACAGCGATGTTGGGGTAATCAACAGCGCTGTCTGGCCTGGGTAACCAAAAACATGGTTTGGCGTTAAGTCTTCCAACAGCGATGTTGGACATCAGACATCGCTGTTGAGCCAAGGTTGGACTCCCAGAAACTTCTGGAACAGCGATGTAGGCTCCCCTACAGCGCTGTCCAACCTAAGCCAAAAATATAGTGCATTGGCAGAAAGTTTTTGGACAGCGATGTTGACCCAG